TGTACCTTCCTATCCTCCAGTAACATTCATTTTTTTGTCATGCAAGCAGTCACATATAAAATTATGCTGCATGCCAAAGATGAGATATATTGGAGAAGAAATGAGTGTTAGAGAGGGGGGTATACAGGGCTGACCCCCATTGTTCGGACGATTCTCCGCGCAGAAGGTCACGAATCGTCACGCTTGCCGAGCCCTGCCGGCCTTCGGGAATGTCCGTCATCCAACTTGATGAGCCTTAGCCGAGCAGCCTAACCAGGTCGGAGAGTGAAAATGTGGCTGCACTGTCACGCCCTCGAGGGTTTCTCCCATTTGTGCACCAGTGAAGGCTTCGGAGAATTGAGTCCTGGGTATCATGGGTGTGTATGAGTACGTCTGAGAAACATGAAAGGAAGCGCCCGAGGAGGAGCTCGGAGCGAGACTCATCAAGTTTGAATAGGGATGAGTTGCACCACTTCCTCCTGCAAGATCGCCGCAGTGACTCTGTGAATAAATTTGGTTCTTTTTTCTGCTTGTTTGGAATGAACTCGCGCACCTATTTGCCAGCTTGCAGCTTTATCGGGTGGAAAATGAGGGAGACATGGTCCTTTGTCCGAACACTAGGGTCTGTCCGAACACTGGGGTCGCGATAGTAAGTGTTGGCCGCTCGATCGTGTTCATTCTGATTAGCCGACATAGCGAACCAAAGACCGATCGCCGGACCGCACACAAGAACGGTCGCGACGCACTATTTGATGCGATAAGGGACGCATGAGGCTTTTGGTCAGCCCCTATCCTCCTTTGAGCTCGTTAGATATACGCTGTACTCACCCTATCCCTCTGCGCAAGTCCCGAGACTCTGCGCCCCTCAGCCCTATCAAGAGCTCGCCGCGGTTCACGTTGCACAGGCCCGGGAGCCTGCGCTACGCCTCGCCCTCCGATGGTGCAGAACAAGACAACAGAAGAGGCCGCTTTGGGCTTTCGATGGAGTGGCACCTTCAGGTCACCCCCGGACGCCGCAGCCCCCACCACTTGCTCCATCGCAGATAGGTCGCATCTGCGGGCAGCAGGCATCGGATAGCGGACGCATCTGATACTCTCCCTCTGAAGTCAACTCTTGAAAGCTTCCGATTATGCGATAGATCACTCCGACAGTGATGGAGGCTACCGAGGCAAATTTTGCGGCGCTCACGCCCTCTTGCTCCCTACGGCAACGCCGCTAGTTCAGTCCCCTGCGCTACAAAGCCACAGTTGAGTATCCCAGACTCATGGTGATCCACGCGACGCACGGCCTGATACGACGCACATTCATTCAGTCATAGCATACATATCGAGACGGCGGTTGTAACGTGAACATCGACCGCACTTCCCAAGCTGCCTCCACCCTCCATGTCAAACCAGTTCCGTAGCCCTCTTCGCCTGACATCCTGTAAACGACGACCAAAGACAGTTCCATTGCGTGCTGCGGACCACAACATCGCCACGTCTGGGATGAATGAAACATGCTGGACCCAGTCACCGTGGTAGGGGAGCGCCGTCAAGCACGATCCATCGCTCGTCCTCCACACCCGCACTGTGTTGTCGCAAGATGCAGAGGCGATATACTTCCCACACGGGGAGAAGCACGCCTGGTATACCCAGTCCTCGTGTCCCTTGAGAGACTGGAGCATGGCACCTGTGCGCGCAGTCCATACCCCCATCGTGTGGTCGTCCGACGCCGAGAGCAGCAGCCTATCATCCGGGGAAAAGGCCACATCGACGACCCTAACCTTGTGCGCCTTCAAGGACAGATGCTCCCGTCTAGTCGCCATGTCCCAAACGCGGATCGTCCCATTCTTGTATCCAACAGCGACGCGTGTGCTCGAGCGACTAAATGCGGCTGTGAGGGGGTCACTGTTCTTGCGATGTCGCTGTAATGGGAGAACAGAGGCTTGATCTTTGTTGTCTGGTTGGCGCTGTTTAGGTGTAGCGGCTAGAATGTTCGTCCATCCCACATTCGTACAGTGTTCTCGCCGTCTCGGGATGCAATGGAAGCGCCGTTGCTGGACCACGCACAGCGTTTCGAGGGAGCAACGTGACCCTCGAGAGAGGCGACTTGGTGTGGGTTGCCGCTAATGTCCCAGATCGCGACCTTCCCATCTTCACCTGCGGACGCGAGGTGTCGGCCGTCCGGTGAGAACGCGAGATCCAGGACACGATCATCGTGGGCAAACCACTCGCATCCCAGAGGATGATGGTGGTATCCGTGGAGGATGTCGCTACAAACTGCCCGTCCGAGGAGACGACAAGTGCGGTGACCATTGAGTCATGCCCGGGCTTGCCAGCTACTCCAGTCAATGTCCAACTCTAAATCTCGGATGCGGGATGGAACTCACAGAATCTGGCGTCTTCAGCCATCGCCCATTTCTTACTTAGTGGACGGAAGCACCCGTTGATTTCGTTCGACCAGGAGATCGTCTTCCGGACATTCTGGAATGGGAGACCAGGGACCGTCAATAGCACGCGATGGGACGGGTACGTAAGCAGGACGTTGTCCAGGGCTGCACAGAGCTCCAGGTTGGCAGCTTGACGACATTCCTTGCGTAGATACCCAATGTTATGATGCCAGAGTACCAAAGTGACGTCTGTTACCGCTGTTTGCTTTGACCTAGGCAAGACGTGGACGGCACGTCGGAGGCTCTCGGTCTTGGCTCTTATCCACCATCGTAAGGAGGTCTGGCGATCATCGCCTGATTGAAGAGGTGGGACGCATGATGATTCTGATATGAAGGACATGAGGTATACAACTAGGACACAGAATGAGATACCCACAAGTACGTTCCCCCTTCACAGGCGTACTAGCGACAACGTGAACCAACACCTCTGTGATGTCTTGATCCACATCTTGAAGTATCTGAAAGCGAACGCAGAGTCACAATCAAGGAACACATATGATCATGCAAACGCTCACATTCAATGTTCGCAGCGGTAATCGACGGGACAAGTCACCTTCTCCCAGAGGAGTATCAGCGTATAACGAGAGACGTTCGCAGGTGAGGTGTTCGACGTATGGGAAGGCTAATAGGAAGTGAAGGAAGGCGGTTCGCGTTTGGAACCTGGCACCGTGGATAGTCAGGCTCCGAAGGCCAGACAAGCATTGCCTGCCGCAAGGCAGAGTGGACTGGGGGAGTTGAGTATCGATCCCGATCACAAAAGAGAGCCCGTTGAATGTGACACGGTGGAGACAAGGGAGGATCGACAGCAAGGGGAATGAAGAGACTTCACTCCACGACAAAGACAGAGATCGCACGACAGGCTGAAGGTGTGGCTGGGCTTGGACAGCATTGTAGAACTGAATGAGCTGTTTCGCGCTCTGTATGTCCACATTACTGGAGAGAACAAAGAGGCTACGAGGCTGCAGTTGGCTGCAGGTGAGGGCGAAGGCTTGCAGCACGACCGTCTTGTCGCCGGAGCAGAGATCGACGACCCTTTGGATGACCTCCCATGGAAGCGCCGGGGACTGCGCGGCGGGTGAAACCGAATGCGTGGGGTGCCAAGAGTTCGCAAGGTCGTCGATGGAAGATATGGGTTGAAGTACAAGAGCAAATCGCCTGCGGGTGACACGGCGAGCTCGAGATGGACCAGGTGTCTATGAAGGGATCGTAAGCAGATCTAGATATGCGTCAAATGGGACTCGTCCGAGCCGCATGTTTTCCCGGTTCTGCGACCTCACATACTTGTCGGAAGCCATACAGGTAACTTCAATCTCAGCTCCTATCGGACTGTTTTGTCTTCGCGTGTACACATACACAGCACACCTAACAAAAAATTGAGATACTAGGAGAGCGCAATGCTTCAGCCTCGCACCGCAGCGAACGGTACAGAGCCTAGATCATCCTCGTAACCGGCGCGTCTCTCTGGAGCCATTCATCGTTGTTGATGTTCGGTCACCCGATGTTCAGCGTGCGGAGCTCGTGACGCCCGGATGCAAAGGCAACGGAAGCCTTGAAGAGGGCGCGTCGAGTCGTACATGCGCTTGGGCTGGTGAAGCGATGGTCCATACAGAAAAGGGGAGCTCATGTTAAATAACCGACGGTAGAACGAGATGGGCCCACACGGAGATACGCCGTGCCTGCATGCAGAATCACATCAGTAAAATATGTGCACAAGACTCACCCTGAGCGTGCTATGGGACATCATCCCTCGTGGCAGTCGCCTCCATATCAAGGAAGCCAAGGCGGGGGCCATAATTGGGAGGCGCGGATGTGGATGATCATGCGATGGAGCAAGAACAACCCAGTTTGCATGACGTCCTATGCACTGGGACAACTCTTTGTAAGCATGTGCAGGGAGCCAACCTGAGGGATGGAGGACGAGCAGATGTAAGCCTAAGTGTAGGACAAAGGATAGTGTCGAGGGAGCAGGGAAGCGATGCTTTAGGTCTTGTCGGTTATTGCGCCTAGATTTGGGCCATAAGATAGCAGGGGGCAGTGCGAAATGAGTCGTGGTTGCTGGCGATGTTCAAGGCCGCGCACAGCGAGCGTCGACAGTGACTTGGAATGCAGGGAATGTTGGAGGCTGTGAAGAGACAAGGGACATACCACAAAAAGTCAGTACGTATAGCGTCATCTTGTCTTACAACCAGATTCGGTCCTGTCCAGGCGACAATCAGCGCAAGATTTCATCTTGTGCATAAGGTTAGCGTGCCAGTGCTAGTGAAAGACCAGGACATCAGGCGTCGCGATGATCGGTAAGAATAATGTCCAGCTCGAAGTTGCTGTCAGGGTCGATACTGAAGGAAAAAAGGAAGTCGCGTTTGGGCGCAGTGCAAACGCGTGTCGTACACAGTAGATACAATAAGGCTTATATACGTACAGTCGACACCCTCCTAACCCATACCTCTGGTAACCCATAAACTCCGAAAACCCATAGGATTTTGGCTTTCCCAAGTCGGGATAGGGGGAATTCGACCCCATAACCCATAGGTCCCCAATACCCCATAACCCATAGCCTTCTAGGGCTCAAAACCCATACGGTAATAGTGGTCACACTGAGATTTTGCTCATCAATAACCCACAAAATACTTGACACATTCTTCCCAGTGTCCTCCCAGTGTCCATCCACGCTTCGACCATGTTGTGGGTAGGTTAGTGTGTTCGAAATCCCATAGCGCTCCCTCAAAGGGTCAGTAGACGCCTGTTCAGCCCTCGCTAACTGGGACTTATCAGGGCGCTTATGAGGCGCTAAAGTTCTGGTAGCCCATAACCCCTCAAAACCCATATATTTGGGCCTGTCCCGAGGGCTATGGGTTAAGAGGGTGTCGACTGTAGCTAAATAGGGGTAGATAAGGGCGCGGGTATCCGTCG